GTTACTATAAACCTCTGGGTACTGTAACAAAGTAAATGTACTCAGTTACTATAAACCTCTGGGTACTGTAACAAAGTAAATGTACTCAGTTACTATAAACCTCTGGGTACTGTAACAAAGTAAATGTACTCAGTTACTATAAACCTCTGGGTACTGTAACAAAGTAAATGTACTCAGTTACTATAAACCTCTGGGTACTGTAACAAAGTAAATGTACTCAGTTACTATAAACCTCTGGGTACTGTAACAAAGTAAATGTACTCAGTTACTATAAACCTCTGGGTACTGAAACAAAGTAAATGTACTCAGTTACTATAAACCTTACGTACCTGTCCACAGGTGAATCTGTGTATAAAAGGTTTAGTTTTAGACAAATATCAGTGAGGTTGAAACGATGCCGTCTGTTTCTTTTTACTAATATTTGCATTAAGTTTTGTTTGTTAGCAGCAGCAGCAGCTGGCTGTAGCACTTGGTAACTTCCTGAAGGAGAACCTTCATGATTCTGTTAAACTTTAAAAGCATCACATGAAGTAAAAGGTGTTCCCCTCACACCTGTCCTTCCTTTATTTGACCCAATCAGATGCAGCAGTTCTAACTTCCTGTTTTCAGGCAGTGCATTGTGGGTAATGTAGTTCCAGCTGTACTGTACAGTACTCGTGTTTCCATCCAGTTTTTGAGTTTTGAGTGAATTTTTAAAATTTCACTGAAAGTAAAACCCAAAGAACTGTGAACCAGACGTGTTCCCATCAGTTACATCAGACGTGTGTTTAGTAAACAGGAAGTAAAGTCACAAACTCACAGGGTCCACACGCGTCAGGACCATGGAGAGTTCTCAGGAACGTTTCATCCTATCAGGAAGTTGTAATTAGTCGTGTTGGTGATGTTCCTGCTGTCTGCAGACCTACAGAAAGAAATGTGACTCTGTCCAGCTTACAGGAAGAACTGAGGTCCAGCTGGTACCTGAACCAGGGTCCAGGTGCAGCTGGTACCTGAACCAGGGTCCAGGTGCAGCTGGTACCTGAACCAGGGTCCAGGTGCAGCTGGT